TATATATATATATATAAATTATGTGTCACGTTGTTTGTGCGCAATGGACTCGTAAACTACTGAACCGATTTGAATAAAATTTTGCACACTGTGTGCAGTTTCATTCAACTTGAAAGATAGGATAATTTATATTAATATATATATAAATTACGTGTCACGTTGTTTGTTCGCAATAGACTCTTAAACTACTGAACCGATTTTAATCAAATTTTGCACACTATATGCAATTTCATCAAACTTGAAAGATAGGAAAGTTTATATATATATATTACATAATAAATGAATTAATACACCGTGTTTTATTTTTATTTTTTCTCTTTCCTTTTCTTTTCTTGTGTTTTTATTTTTTAATTTATTTTTCTTTTCTTTTTTTTTTTTGTCAACTTTGGGTATGTATCGTCGAAAAATTCATTGAGAATTCTTTGTCTTTCTTTCTCGAACACATATACACACTCCCATACATGTATTCGCACGTGCATACATACATTTACATACACACACACATATTTATATTCAACGTATATTTGAATACGTAGTAGACTTATACATGTTCATCGTGTATATTACATTCACACTCACACATCGTTTTCTTTCTTTTGACTTCCTCTCTCTATCCCCCTCCCTACCACCATTTCTTTATTTTTCTTTCCTTTTTGCTTTTTCTCTCTCACTCACTCACTCTCTCATTCTCTCTCTCTCTCTCTCTCATATTCTCTCTTATTCTTTTTTTTCTTTTTTTTTTTTTTATTTCATCCAACTCCCTTCTTTGAGTTCTCTCGTTCGTATTGCTCACCGGGAGAGATTCGATCGACGTTCGTCCGTCGAGTGCTTTTCGTACTATCTACAAATACAAATACAAATACAAATACAAATTTGTCAGGGATTTTTTGTTGTTCTGTTTCTAACTTTTAAGGCCGTGTCATCAAATGCGAAACAACGAAATATTTAATATCAGAAAATAATAAAAAAAAAAAATTGAATTTGTATTAATATTTTTTTAGTTTAGTTAACTTCTGTTCAACTAATATGAATAATAATAATAATTATTATTATTATTATGATTATTATTATTGTTAATAATTATGTGTATTTGTGTGTATTAAAGTTAACCACCCCCCCCCTCTAAAATATTCGCAACACGTTTACAGTTGTTTATTTGTTTTTGTAATTCATTAAATTAATTTTTGTTTTGACTAATATTACATAACCTCTAAGAAATTTGTGTTGTTTCAATTATTAAGAAAAAATTGACGATTAAATTAATAATCTCAAAATGATACGAATTTTGAACGTTTTTTTTTGTTTAAACAATGGTATTAATAATTTGTAGATATTTTTAATTGATAATTAATAAAATTCAAACAAAAATATTTGAATTGATCGATAGAAAATTAATACACGAGTTTAATTTAAAAAAAAATTCTTTACGATATGTTTTTCATAGTTTCATTTCTTTCTATTTTATATTTTTTTAAATTATTTTAT